AAAATAAAAGTTAGAAGAGGAAATCAGATTTCTTAAAGTTGGTATATCATGAACTATAGGTACAGTAATACCAATCCTCTGGAAGTGATTAACAAAACTGAAAACAGTTTAAAAGTTGAGTGGAGGCAATGAGGCAGAGAAAGATCTTATTTTGTATCCTTTTGTGATTTTTTTCATTAACTCCAGGTGTATTGATTTTTTTAAATTCAGTGAGATTTATGCTATAAATAATATATATGTGTGATATATATATAATCATATATATTATCTCATATCTATGCCATAGAAAAACCAGAAGGAAGAGCATAACCATTTTACAGCTCAGTTAAACATCACTACTTCCTTATTATAGAAATTGATGCTTATGGTAAATATGAGAAAGAAAAAGTGCCTCACTGGTAAAAGGAAAAGTTAATGAGAAGACACAGATGCATGAGATTATGGCTATCTGAAGTAAATCAGATAACTTGGTTATGATGAGAGGTGATGGTTAGGTAAGCAGGGACCATATGCTGAAGGGCTTTGCATACCTTGAAAAGAAATTTGGTAGGCCAGCAGGTAGCATGGCAGGCAGTTAAGGTGCTGAACTCCCACACAGTTGACCTTGGTGCATGGTTCAAGTCCTGGACCTGGTGACTGGAAAATCACACTAGGCACATGTGCATGTGTGCCCAGAATCCCAGGAAGAGAATGGAGGAGAAGGGATTGTGGTATCACAACCTGTCCTGTCCTCCACTCTCCCCGGGGGCGGGGGTGATTTTCCCTTTCTCTCTCACTGTTTCTCCTCTCTCCAGCAAATGCACATGCACTATGGCAAAAAACCTTAAAAAAAAAAAAAAAAAAAAGAAAGAAAGAAAGATACTTGACTTAATCCTATAGACAGAATACAAAATTAAAGAATTACAAATTGTTTGATTTTTAAAAATACAGTGTTAAAAGTTTTCATTTTGAAGGCCATGAATTTTGTCTGGGTATCATAATAAATTTTAAAATATATAGCATACTTGTAAAGAAGCTAGCAAAAAAATAAAAGTGTATGAAATGACCTGGTTTCTTTGTCTGTCAATAGATTTATATTGCTAGTCTTTAGTTATGTATATTTTATCTTTTATCTTACTATAGCTTTATTTTAGTATCTGTTTTTTTGGTTTTGCTATAGGATGTATGCATGGGATCTTAGTTTTTCAGTTAACAGGAAAATAGGTTGTATTTACCAAACATTTAGGAACAAATTGTTTTTTCCTATTGGATAGTATGTAGTAAATGGTTTGATTTTTGTTTTGGTTTGGTTTTTTGTTTGTTTCTGGTGGAGAGATTTTTGCTATAGGGTGCATGCACTCACCAGAAAGGCAGACAGAAAGGGAGAGATCACCCCCCCCACCCCCACATGGCCATGCAGCAATCCCTTCTCCTTTCTCCTCTTGGGACCTTGCCACACATGTGCATGGCATCAGTTTAAGCCGCCAGGCCTGGGACTTGAACCATGGTAGACTATGTGGGAGTCCAGCAACGTTAACTATTATGACATATACTGGTCCCCCATTTTCTAAATATTTTTTGCTTTCAGTTATTACCAAGAGACTAATTGGTTTCATTTAAAAACTACTTACTAAGATATTCAAGCTTAGTCATTTTTACTAATTCTTTGAATATTTGGACCTCAGGAAATATAATAACTATGCTCTTGTTTTCTCAATTTATTTTATGATACCATGTTTCCTGAGTATCAGTAGATTTGACTGCATTGTTCCCAAATGATAATCCTGGATCTTGTAACCAAAGTATACATGGGTGTGTGTATGTGTGCTTACAGCAATATAAGACTCTAACTCCTTTTTAACACACACACACACACACACATAATATATATTTTCCCCCCAGAGGGCACGTGCACTTGCCACAGAGAGAAGGGGAGAAAATGAGAAAGAACCTCCCACAGTGGGTGGTCATGCCACAGTCCCTCCCCATTCCCCATTCCTTTCAAAATCTGGGTGTATACGCACACACCAACCCCATGTCTTTTTCAAGCCACTAGGTCCAGGACTTGAACCACATATTTGGCCATGTGGGATCCAGCCACCTTCACTACCACACCACCAGCTGGCCCTCCATGAACTTCTTAAAGTCCCCTCACATATACAAATCCTGTTTGTCATCATAGTATTGAAAGAAGCCTAGTTCTTAGCCCCTTCAGGAATCATTAAGTTAGAGTAGTCTGACTTAGAATACAGTGGTGTCAAAGAAACATGATAATTTTCATTTTATTTTTATACATTTTCATTGAGCTTTGCAGTGGAACATCGAATGTATCTTTATGGGAAGATTTCCTCCAGCATATTCATACTGTTCTAGTCTGTTCTGTTGCTGATAACAGAAATACATGAATCTGAATAACTTAAGAAAATAGAAACTTTTTTAGTTCCATTTTAGAGGCTGAGAAATCCAAGAGCATGGTGCTATTTTATGGGGAGGGCATCTTTATTGCATCACAGCATGGCAAAGGGCAGGGAAGTGCTGTCTGTGTCCCTGTGTCTTTGTTCTGGTTTCATTCCTCCTCTTTATAAGCACACCAGTATTGAGGTGAGGGGTCCCCACCCTTATAATTTTATCCACTCCTAATAGCCTCTCAAAGACTTCGTCTCTTAGATACATAGTCATACTATACAGTTCCTCTTAATACTGTCGCTGTATAGCCAAATTCCAGCATGTGAGCTTTTGGGGGACAGAGTCAAACCATAACACTTTCAAAGTCTAATTTAAAGTAAGATATATGGGGCCAGCAGGTGTGTTGGTTAAGGCACTAGACTCCCTCATGGCTGACCACAGTTCAAGTCCTAAACTTCTCTGTCTCTCTCTCTCTGTCTCTCTCTCTCTCTTTCTCTTGCATGTGGAAAATTTGCTTTGTGACTTTAACTATGAAATCTTGACAAATAAATGGCAACTACTAAATTTTAAAACATTTAATGCCCTAATTATTTGTTTATATGTAATTGTAGCTCATTGTTTTTAGCACTCTGAGCACTTCAAAAAATATTAGAAATTATGGGAATGATTTGATATCAATAAATTAAAATTTTAAACATCAGCATATCACTAAACATGGTTTAGGAGGAAACATTTTCCCTGAAAATTAACTGGCAACATTTTGCTAAAAATTGCTGTATGATATGTATTTCTACTACATGAAAGAAGTAAAGTTGATTTTCAGAAATTACACTAGATACAACTGATGCTTGGAAAAGTAATTTACTTGTATACCTGAGTGTATGATAATTTTTTTGCGTGAGATCTCTGAAATAATGCTTAGTTTTCATCCATCACCTTATGTCCTTATTTTAAAATTCCTCCATTTATTTAAGGACAGGCCTTCAGTAGATCTGTAAAATATAATTACTCTTGAGATCTGAATTCTATTTGACAGCTAAAATTTGGCTTTTGTCTACCTAACAGTATTTTCTTCTTATTGCTAGTTAATATTCATAACCATTATGTTAGCGGTTATACTAACATGGTTTGAAAACTTTTAATATGAACAAAACTAGAACTTTGGGAGGATAAAAAACTCGTTTAATTATAGGTTGGGTTTTTTTTTTTTTTCTTTTTTCTTTTTTTTTTTCCTAATGGCACTGCTGAATTTCTTTAATAGTAAAATTTTGCCTTTAAGTAAGACAGAAGGTTTCCAAAATGAGAAGGTATGGCTATATACAATACCTCATAAGGAAAGACTAAAAGAAACATATAGTGTAGCATTTGTCTTGCTTTAGTCGATACTTACTTGGTTTTCCTTCTAGAATTAATTTGGTTAGTCTGTTGATCAAAATCCAACTGTTTGATCCTTGTGTAATTTTTGCCTTATTAATACAGTATAAGGGAGGGTTTCTCACCTGACTCATGTTGCAGTCAGTTAGGGAGCTTTAAAAGTAGTAGTAACAGTAGTAGTAGTAGTAGTAGTAGTAACAGTAGTAGTAGTAGTGTAGTAGTAGTAGTGTAGTAGTAGTAGTAGTAGTAGTAGTAGTAATTAAAATGCCAGCACCCAGATCTCATCCCCCAAACATTCTGATTTAGTTGGTCTGGCATGGGTTCCAGGGATCAATAATTTTCAAAACCTTCCCAGATAATTCTGATATGCTGTCAGGAGAATTCTACTCTAAGATCACTTGAATTTGAAAGCTTGAGAAATTTTGAAGTGGCCATTCTAATTATAGGAGAACAATGAGTGATAGCCCTAATGATCCCTGAACAGAAAACTTTATTAACTATCCATGAAAATGAGTTTCAAGTACCCAACTGGAACTTAACCAGCTGTGTAACCAAGTATTGTATTAGCTGTTTTTACTTATGAGCATCTGAAGACTCTAGGCTTTTTAACTCCTTATAGGAACTCTGGAAGGTAGGTAAACTGCAAACAATGCTCAGAGAATGACTGACTTACTCAAGGGAACATGGACTTGCAAGTGGCAGAGCCCAAATTGGACCACATACAAGTTTGATTTTATAGAGTGAACTCTTTTCACTGTACCATGCTATATGAAAATTTGATAGTGTGACTCAGCTTAAATAATTAAATAGTTTATTTTAAGATTTTATTATTGTCATGGTTCTTTAGAACCATGATTATTATCACCAACAAAACTTTAAGTACAGGGCCAGCTTGTGGTATGGTTAAGGTGGCTGGATCCTATTAGGCTGACCAGTTTGCATATCAGACCCAGCAGCTTAAGGAACACCTGGGCGTGTATGCAGATATGCTCAAAATCCTGAGAAGAGAATGCAAGAGAAGGGATTGTGGCTTGACCATCCCTCCTAGGGGCTGATTTCTCACTTTCCCTCTCCCTGTCCTTCTTTGGCAAGCTTACCAGAGGAAAAAAAAAAACTATTACATGCTTAGTATGATTGGCAACAAAAGTTAATAGATGCATCACTTTTTTTTACTTTTGTATTTTTTACATACATTTAAAAACTTATACCAATATTTTAAATTTCTATTTTTCCTTTTGTAGTTATATGCAGGAGCTATTCTTGAAGTCTGTGGATGAAAATTGGGGAGGTTCCCTCAAGTTCAAGGTATGTAAAATGAACTGTTTAATCATTTAAAATCAACATTTTATAAGAAAAGCTTTGGTGTTTTTTTGTTTGTTTGTTTTTAAGAATTATTTGTTTAATGGGACCAGCAGTTAGCATAATGGCTATGTTGCTGGACTCCCACATAGTCGACCGCGGTTCACATCCCGGACCCGGTGACTTAAACTCATGCCGGGTGCGTGTGCGTGCGTGCCCAAGATTCCGAGAGGAGAATGGAGGAGAAGGGATTGTGGCGTGGCCATCCTCCCCTGGGAGGTGTTTTCTCGCTTTCTGTCTCTATGTTTCTCTCTGTCTGTCTGGCGAGCGCATGTGCCCTATGGCAAAAACCTCTCAAAAAAAAAAAAAAAAAAACAAGAATTATTTGTTTATTTAATTCTGTTTATTATTTTTTAATTTAGCCAGAGAGAGGTAGAGAGAGGGAAAGGGAGAAAGCAAGCCATGTGGGAATCCAGCACCATGCCACCTGCCGGCCCCCTTAAGAACAGGTTTATTAAATACTTTGAGGAATAAGAATTTTTAAGATTATACTTTCTTAACTGTATACAAATTTTTTTCTCTTTTTTTTATGTCATAGGGTTTTATAGTAATTGGTAAATATTAGATTACTTGAAGCAAGCATATTATATGAAATTTAGATTAGAAATACAGCAAATGAAGTAATTATTTTTTCTTAAAAGAATTGCTTTTCTTTTACCAGATATAAATTTTATGTTTTTTACCAGGTGTAAATGCAATTCCTTTAAGGCACCATTCGAACGTCTTTTACATTTATTTATATAAAACTTCTAAGGAACAGTTTCATTAAGTGAGAGTAGGCCTGCACAGAATGACGTGTCACCGAGAAGGGAAGGAACTGCCATAGAATTTGGGATACAGAAGAGAAACAGTTATATGTGTGTATTTCGCAGGGAATTTTAAGACTAAGTATATTAAAGGATAGTTGTAAAAGTATGTTATTTTGATTGACATCAAGTAGTAATGAAACTTTGCATCTTCAAAAAGGTATAGACTAAGGCATTTTTGTCCTATCCTCCTTACATGTTGTTTGAAAATGACTTTTTTGAAATTGAACTTGTATGGACTTTTCCCATAATTTTTTGCCTTATTTGCCATTATTCTCTTCTGGCAAGGGAAATTTTTAGATTTAGTATTTTATAAAATTGTCTATGTGATTAGTGCATGCGTGCCTTTTATTGCTGACCTTAAATTGTTTATAATAAAATGTTACTCATTTTGTCATGGAAATATGACAATATTTTGAGATATTTTGAGATAGGGACATTTTTAATAAAGAGGCCCAAAGCAGATACATACTAATTAAATACATTCTTTTTGATATAGCTCAGAATAGAATGCCTACTTCTGCATGGGGGGAATATTTTTTACTCTGATTTTTTTTTTGGTTATTGTTACTGTTACTTCAGACACTCAGGATTTTATGACAGTTGTCTTGGCTTTTTTATAGCATTTCTTTGATGTGTGATAGTGTTATTCCTAAAAAGTTTTGTCAGTTGTTTTTATTGATTACTAAACCTGTTTTATTAATAACCTTTTTTGACAGATTTTCATGAGAATCTCTTGATATTTTGGCATGGCAGTTAGTCCTCTTAGTTGTTATCATTAAAATACAATAATTTATATCTATAGTAACTCCTATTTCTTACGTATAACTGATCAAACCTTTGGTTACACGTAGTCATTCTGTCTTTTCCTTTTGAAAAGAATTGAATTTTAGTTCTGTGTCTAACTATTTAATTAAGTACAATCTTGCTTCAAATAAAAATGATTATTTAGTTCCATAATGTATAACCATACCTAATAGATATAATACCTGCATTTTCTAAGCCAATGAGAAGTTGGTATATTTTTGATAAAACCATTATTCCCACTTTTATCATCTCCATCTTAAAGGTATTCTGGAGTAGAGCATGGATGATTGTCAAAGTTGACAGCAATTACAAATGCCAAACTAACTTTGATATCATCACTGCCTCATATTCTTTTTCTTTTTCTTTCTTCCTTAGATTTTTGCCATATAGGGTACACGCACTTGTCAGAGAAAGACAGAGGAAAAGTGAGCAGTCACCCCCCAGGGTGAATGGCCACACTGCAGGTCCTTCTCCAAGGATTTTGGGCATGCACACACATGCACCTAGCATGTTCTTCCAGGTTTAGGACTCAAACAGCAGAGTTGGTCATGTGAGAGCCAATTCCTTTGCCATATTCTTTGTCTTCAACATTGAGTAGCATTTGGGATTATCATGATAAAACATTCATTATATTATACTTTAGTTTATAATACATTGTAATTTTTTAAGATCACTTCATTTAAATTAACTGTTTTGTAATACAGAAGAGCAAGTTCATGTTAAATTTTTCCAGTAGAGGGAATAATTTAAACATAGTATGTTTTGTCCACATTAAACCACTCGGAATTGTACAGAAACTTTCCAGGTTGTATTTCTAGCCAATTCTAGATATGCCTCCTGAAATACTTTTTGTTTTCCATGTCCTAGTTAAGTATGAGAAATAATATATATAATAATTTCTCATGGTAGATTTCACCTAGTATTCTGTCACTTCATTTTTGATATCTAAAGTAATATAAATAGTGTAAATTTCTTCTTTAGGATAAGTCTTAGCATGTCAAGAATATATCTGTCTCTCAGGAGGGAAACCCCTAATTTTGGGAAGCTTGGCAAGCTTTCATATAAAGGGCTAAATAATAACAAATTTTGGGACCAGCAGTTAGCATAATGGCTGTGTCGCTGAACTCTCATGTAGTCAACCGCAATTTGAGTCCCAGACCTAGTGGCTTAAACTCACGCCGGGCGCGTGTGTGTGTGCCCGAGATCCCGAGAGGAGAATGGAGGAGAAGGGATTGCAATGTGGCCATCCCCCCAGGGGGTGACTTCTCTCTTTCTGTCTCTCTGTCTCTCTCTCTTTCTGGTGAACGCACACACCATATAGTAAAAACTTCTACAAAAAAAAAAAATAGTAGTAACAGTTTTCAGCTTTCCAGGTAACATGGTGTCTATTGTAACTTTTGAACTCTGCTCTTGTAATATGGAAGCAGACATAGTATTTAAATGAGTGAGTGTGGCTGTGTTCCAGTAAAACTTTATAAGCAAAAGCAGACAAGCCAGATTTGGACCACTGCCATACTTTGGCAACCCCTTGTCAGAATCATAAGCATTCAAACATGAAAGGCGTTGTGGAATGAAGTAGTAATGAAATAACAAAAGGATTTTTATTTCTCATGCATTTTCTTTTAACCACATATAGTGCTTAAGATTCTGATACCACATTAGAGTGTTGCTAGAAAGACTACTGATGGATTTGCATTCTCTTCATTGATTTTCTTATATAAATTAATGAGTTATATACAGATCAAGTAAAATAGGTTAATACCTACCTTATAGAACTATTCTGAGGATTAAATGAGATAGTGTGGAAATCACTTAGTATGCATATTGTATCAGCAAATAAAGAGTAAATCACTAATTATATCAATATTTAAATGATTACTTTATGTCAAGCACTCTTCTAATATTGAGGGGTATAAAATGGTATTGTATTTTTATGTTCCTTTGGTTAAGTTTTAATTACTAACCATCAAGCATTTACACATTTATTGGCCATCTTTAAAATAATTCAAATTGGGGCCGGCAAGTGGCATGGTGGTTAAAGGCGCTGGACTCCCACATGGCCAACCACGGTTCAAGTCTCGGACCTGGTGGCTTGCTTTCTCACTTCCTCTCTCTCTCTCTCTCTTTCTCTCTCTGATCAAACTGGAAAATAATAATGATAATAATAATAAATAAAGTTAAATAAAATAATTATTTTTAAAAAATAATAACAATAATTCAAATCAGTATATCTTTTACAGCTTCAACCTGTCTCTTAATTACATGCAAAATGCTGTATACAGTATTTACCTCCAGCCATTCGTTAGTGTATACTCTGGTTTTCTTTCATTTTACTTTCTGACTCCTAAATCTTACTTGACTCTAACATTTCAACTTTGCTTCTGCTTCTAACAGATCTTTCTTTTTTTCTGGCATCTCTTCTGCCTATTCTTCAAATGCTACTAATTGCCATGGTCTGTCTTCAGATATTCTTCTCTTCTTATGGTCCTGAATGTTTCACTCTCTTAATCTTAATTGTAGTATTTACCTGATGACTTCCAATCTGTATCTTTAAATCAAACTTTTCTTTTCTTAAAAATCATAATTCTAGGGCCAGCATGTGACATGGTGGTTAAGGCAATGGACTCCACATGGCCAGCTATGGTTTGAGTTCCAGACCTGGTGGCTTGGAAATCATGCAAAGCACATGTGTGTGCATACCCAAAATCCTGAGGAGAATGGAAGAGAAGGGATTGAAGCGTGGCTGTCCTCCCTGGGGTGTGATTTCTCACTTTCTCTCTATACATCTCTGTCTTTCTCCAGCAAGTACACACACCCTGTGGCAAAAAACATTAAAGGGGAAAAAAATCATATTTACGACTGCCTTTTGATATTTACTTGGGTGATCTCATAGGTACCTTAAATCAATGCACATGTGAATCACCTTGAGAATCTTACTAAAATGCAAAATATAATTCTGTAATTTTGACACGGTACCTGAGATTCTGTCTAACAGTTTTTCAGACAGTGGCCCCACGCTTATAGAAGAAAGATCTTTAACCCTGTATATCCAAAAACTAAATTAATCCTCTTCTCTGGTAAAAGTATACCTTCTTCTTCCCCATTTCTTTAAAGTATAAGTATGAAACACAAGGATCATGATTAATCTTTCACACTTTATAACCAGTTGTTCACCAAATTATATCTCTACTCCTTGTTAAATAATCTTTTTTTTTTTTTGAGACATTTTTGCTATAGGGTGCACGCATTCACCAGAAAAAACAGAGAGAGATAGAGAGACAGAAAGCGAGAAATCACCCCCCCGGGGGGATGGCCATGCCGCAATCCCTTCTC